GGAAGCACTGGGATGTAAATTTAATGGAAGCTACTTGGCTACACCAGAAGGATCTGCTCTCCGTCCCCGTCCTGCCCAAACAAAACCCCTACATACTGTGGGAGGAGATAAGGTCCCTGTAGTGCACACAGGGAAGCGGTTGGGGAAGGCAGTATGGATTGCTCCTCCGATGGGAAAAGGCAAACCCATTTGTGGGATTGTCTTTGTCCAAGGGCCTGGGTGTACTTGGTGGGTAGCGCTGAAGGATGGGGAAACCTGGTGTGTGCCTCAAGGAGATTTAACCTTGGGGGGAAACTAATCTGTGATGTGAGTTGTATGTTGCAGGAAGGAATGTATCAGGAATGACCTGAACTGATGGAGAGTGAGTTTTGTAAGGAAAGGAACCAGACGAGTGCAATGATGACCTGAACCGAGCTGGTGTTGGCACCCAACAATCAAACATGCTGCTTCTCCTGTCTTGAACATCTATCTTGACAGAAGAGGCCCAAGTCAAAGCCTGTTTGTGAACACTTGGAGGAACAGAGGAAGCCCATGGGATAAATGTCTGATAAAGGACCGGGGGACAGAGCTAATAAGAATGTATAAATCTGTATGTTGGGTATAAATTATGTGGGACCTAAGCATGATGCAAATGATATGGAATAAGGGGTGGAGATTGTATTGGTCTGGCTGAGATGGAGTTAATTTTCCCCAGAGCAGCTCTCAGAGTGCTGTGGTTTGTATTAGTAGTGAGAAAGGTGTTGAGAACACACCAGCATTTTGGTTATTGCTGAGCAGTGCTCCCACAACATCAAGGCTGTGTCTCCAACATTTCCCCCAGCCTACTGGGGGTGGGGAAGGGCTTGGGAGGGGACACAGCCAGGACAGCTGACCCAAACTGACCAAAGGGATATTCCATAACATATGATGTCTGCTCAGAAATAAAAGCTGGGAGAATGGAGCAGGAAAGGGGGGGCATTAGGTTTTTCCATTTGTCTGCCAGGAACCGCAACACGTATGACAACCTGCTTCCTGGGAAGTGGCCAAACATCACCTGCTGATGGGAAGTAGAGAATAAATATTTTGTTCTTTTGCTTCTGCGCGTGCAGCTTTGCTTTGCTTCCATTAAACTGCCTTTGTCTCAACCCAGGAGTTTGGGGTTTGGTTTTTTTTTTGCTCCATCTTATTTTCTCCCCTCCCCATCCTGCTGAGGAGGGGGGTGAGAGAGTGGGCTTTGGTGGGCATCTGGCATCCAGTCAGGGTCAACCCACCACATTACTCCTTCTCCACCATCACCAACACAAGCAACATGAAGTCTTTTGTTACATCTGAAATGCTTGCTAAGCTTTCCACTAAAGTTCCTAAGCTACTAAACTTGTCATGATAAAAACTAAATTATTACACAACAATGTTATTCCTATTAAGACGTTTTCTTTTCTTTTCTGTTTTGTTTTGTTTTTTCGTCAGAAAAAGGGAGGAGAGCAAAGAAGTCATTATAGGAGTTGATTTGAGCTGACATGCTATAAGAACAGAATTCTCACTGTCAGTACTTTAGCTTTTAAAATTATTATTATTATCTGATTTCAACAAGGCATTAAAATCCTTTTGTTAGCAAGTTTAGACAGTCTGCTTCTAAAATTACTTACCAGCTTTATATGCTAATGAGTTAGAAGCTGGCACAGACTTCTTGTAACAAAGGTATACACTGGAACCCCACTGGAAGACACAAGTTTCATCTTAGAACCAGCAAAGATGACAAAAAGGAGCAGAGAAATCAAGTATAAGCATTTGAATATACTCCCACTTACAGAAATTAAAGAAAGAAAGCAGAAATTAAATAAAAAGCATTACAGAATAAAATGACTGCCTGGCTGCTGAGTGCATGTAAATCATGGAATTGAGAATTCACTCCTCACACATTTTTAGAGATTCACAGCACCACACTACTCTTTGATTTATTCCAGCAGAATAACGGGGAAAAGTGAAGCAGATCATTTGCAGCTTCACATTTTCTTGGTTATTTAAACGGAGATTCTTATGGGAAACTCATCAGTAGAAGTGAAATTCTAAACAGCATCATTTGAAGCTTTTATCATACTTCTATAAACTGATTATTTCATAGAATCATGGAATGGTTTGGGTTGGAAGGTAACTTAAAGATCATCCAGTTCCAACCCCCCTGCTATCAGCAGGGACACCTTCCACTAGATCTGGTTGCTCAAAGCCTCATCCAACCTGGCCTTAAACACTTCCAGGGAGGTGCATCCACAGCTTCTCTGGGCAACCTGCTCCAGTGTCTGACCACCCTCACAGTGAAGAATAGTGTTCTTGTGGTTTGTCTGAATATATTACATCATTTGAAAAAACCTCATTTCTTTCAGCCTGAGTAAACTAAACGTAACACAAACTAAACAAAAGCAATCTGATTGAAAAAAACATACATGAATAAATTCTAAGCATTAATTATCATTCTTACATTTCTTAGTAACATAGGCATTTGTGATTCATCCCAAGTGTCAGCATCACCAAAGGGGAAGCATAATTAAAAAAAAAAAAAAAAAAAAAAAATCCACCACACTACTCCTAAATAGCACCTCGACATGAATATGTAAAGTAAAGTAGTGAGTAATTAGTATGAAGAAGTAATAGGAAAACAGAGTAAAAAACCTGAAGTCTCACCCATGGTATATAATATGAAAATTATGATGTAGTGATAGAACACAATTATAACAATGCTAAGAAGAGTTCAAAGACCTACTTCTTTGGAATTTTGGGGTTTGAAAGAGAAAAAAAAAAAGAGAGAGAGAGAGAGAGAGAGACTCAAGCTTTTAAACACTCTTTAAATACTCACCATACCACAATTTAAATTCTTATCAACTTTGCAGAACGTATGAGGAGGGGTTTCTCCTTTGCTGGTAACAATAACACAGATATCTGTCACCGCCAACGAATTTTGAGGTCGTACTGGAGGAGCCCTTCGATACGTGATAAAGATCCGCTGAGAAGAAGCCGAGCTGTTGTTAACATTGGCGCAACGCCCATAAGGAGTAGCTTGGATCACCTCGCAGCCTGAAATGATGCGTTCCTTCCCTTCATATAGAACTCTGCAGACAGGACAGAAACAAAATATTATGCGCATTCAAATATATATGAAGTTACTTGGACCAACTCATGGAAATTGTCCAACCGATAGCACCCTATATCATCATTGCAATGTTCTAACGTGCATTTTATATATTGTCTTCTGTCATGCATCATTTGAGGCAAAGAAACTGTCCAGAAATATTTAACTATTACAAGAAACCTCTCTGGGAACACATCATAGGTATGGAAAAATAAAATCAAGACACACTGAAAAGGATTTAGTTATAGAAATAGTAGAATTGCTGCACAATCAATAAAAATTAAATACAAAGGAACCTTTAAATTGCTTGCACACATGGTAACTGATAATTTCTAAGAAATTATTTCCGCCACCAAAAAGTCTGGAAAGTCATTCCAAACTTGATGTTTTTTTTTTTTTTTTTTTCTTTTTCTTTTTAAGGAATTTTGTTGAAATTCAGATGACAAACAGATGACAAAAGTCTGCTTCCTAGATGAATTTTTACAGAAAAAAACCCAAACCTGGTAATGATTTACATTCATAGTTTGAATACCATTCCTTAAGAGGGGGGGGGGGTGGAGAATGGTGGGTGGAGACACAAAATTACTCCATTCCACAGAAAAGGAAGCAATAATAACCACAGTTGACTGTACTCGTAGAAAGCAGAATATATCTTACATGGCCAAACAGCAACATTTCCATGGTACCTGGATTTTTTAGCCAGATCACTAGTTTCAATAACCATATTCTTAGTAAAAAAAGAAAGAACCTTCACAGCTTCACAGCAGTTAAATAAGCTAAAACTTTACACTCCAATCTTTCCCAAACATAAAGCTATTAGGAAGTGACCATGAGAAGAAATGTGGAAGTCAAACCACATGTATGTGTATTTTTAATGCACAGATGCTATGATACACTAAGCTTTAGCTCCCATTTCACACCCAAATAAGCAATGGTTCCATTTGCTTGATTCTCTGCAGTATGTACAGAGTACTTGCCATCTTCAGATGAGTTTTCATCTTTATCCTAAATCTTGCCATATCTTGTAAAGGTAACACAGTAGAACTTTGTATTTTGAGACTTGCAGCTTCCCACATGTACTCCATCACAATTTTAAAACAGAAAATAACCAGGCAATATATCTTGTACCGTCCCAAAATACCTTTGGTTAAATGTTTGACAGACCATTAGTATTTATTTGAAAACATCAAAAAGTCATGTGTATAAACTAAAAAACCAAAATAGAATTCTTTTTCCAGATACAACAACTCTCAGAACTTTCAAAAAAAGTTCCATTGAACTTCACAAATTACTTAAATACTGCTGTCCACCTTTAAACTGGAATATGCAAATACTACTGTTTATTCTGATTTCACAGAACAAACGTGTATCTTGTCTTACTATTGAGGATATATGTGAACTATAGCCCTAGAATACTGTAATAAAGCAAAGAAATCACATGAGTTGGGAGTATATTGATGTAAGCACCAGGCTGCCGTACACATTTATTCAGGTAGTTCATGGAGGAAAATATTCTTGCCTTCAATAATGGTTTCAGTTATAAAGAGTCTGATCATCACATTTTTGCTACATTTAAAATGATGTGCAATCTCAAGTTCAAAACCAGCCTAATACCAGTATTTCCAAGTTGCAACACTACCTACTCGTTTGAGGTACGTATAAAGTATATGCTGTTCAAATTACTTCTAAACCAAATAATATTCTGGAAGAACATGTATTGTGCTCTTTTTATTGGGTTACCTACTTCACACAGTTAGAAAAACAAAAACAAAAAAACAAACACAAAATTAACAACTACAATGGCACCGGCTTTCAGGCTACCTTCATTGTGCATAAAGAGTTTACATGAACTCTTCACTGCCTTACATTAATCAGAAGAGAATATTAACAGAGCAGTCTTCAATACAAGTTTCAGTTCAGTTTTCTTTCCATTTCATGTATTTTAAATAAACTCAAGAATTTGGAGTTATTCCAGAAACATTAATCATCTGACAACTTTTGAGAAGGAAAACCATATTAATCAGACAATTCCAGCAGTTTGACTTAATAGGTTTACAAGTATTCTCAGAAAAATACTTCAAGACTGAAGAATTTCTCAGTTGTGCAAATACTTCAAAGAGGTAAGGGGCTGACCAGTGTTGAAGACTGTTAACAGTGGGGTCACCTCCCATCAAAAGCAAAAGCAACTCTCACCCCTACATATATACCAGAAGTATTATTAAAACCACACAATTTTACTGAATTTAAGAAAACAGGCAAACAAAAGAAAACCACCACCCATGGATCACTCACATCAAATAATGATTTTAATGATTCAGACAAACACATTCAGAAGTGATGCATGAAATATTTAACATGACACCCTGTATAGACAAAGTCCTCCCTGAGAGAGTAACTTTACTCATACTTGTTTCAACTTCACGGTGTCTGTCTTCGATTAATTAGTACAGATCAAGATTAGACTTGTTTCCTGCTTCTATGAGCTTATACTTTGGCCTTGATCCCAAGAAAACTCTGCTTCTGGAAAACCATTTCAGAATAGGTATAGACTGTTGCAAATTGCATCATGTGGGGCTGCTTTACAGCTTGACTTCTCCTCTAGGTCCAGCCACTTTCTGACTGCCATAGTCCTTCTGCAAAATAACTCTTTATAACTACTCTTCCCATCTCATTTAAGAGAAGACAGTATGCAAGTACTGAATAATAACGGAACTAAAATAAATATAAGAGGCAGTAGGAGGGTCAGAGGAGAAGCATTGGATCAAGTACAGGTAAAAGACTGACTTATCTTGTATTTCTACTGCTACCACTATTATTATTTGTTTAAATATACAAGTTATTATTTTCATCATTATTATCCTAAGCTGTTCCAAACACCCAACTGCAGTTGTCACATCAGTGAGATTTAAGGAAAATGAAAGATGCTGGTTGTTAAGATCATCTTCCAGTTCCTATTACACTTCTTGAAATTTGAGTTCACTTTCATTTTTGAAATACATCTCTAGTAACAAAAAACATTTGTTCACTTGATACTCCTGCAAATATTTTCAGAAACCAGGCATGCAGAATGAGATGGGTCCTTGGCACAGAGTCACTAACCAAACTAAACCATCCCACACTAGTTAAAAAAAACCAACCAAACAAACAAACCAGTATTCCTTTACTTACACAATGCAAGTTACCTGACTTTTGCTTACTCAGTAATACAAAAACCTCTGCTTCAGACAGTAAGTCTGATATTCTTTCCTTGTCCTTTCTACAGTAGGTGTTACAAATTGCAAAACCATCTACACTTAAAAAGCATTTTTCTGTCAGGTTTTCTTCCATTTAAGAAACAAGTGCTGTAGCTCTCCCATATTCCTAATGCAAGTGGCAAAACAAAGAGAGGTGAGATCTTGTTTCCAGGTCTCACTGCACCTAAACAATAAACAAATCTCAAATCTCAGTTCCTGTCTATTTCTGGAATATCAGCAAAAACAATGGTTAGGAAAGCAACAGAGTGACTAATAGCTTAATTATTTACAGACATATAAGCCTAAGATACTAAATTTTATAGCTGTATGTAGGAAAAGGATCTTAGAGATGTCTTGTCCAAGGATCAAACTTTTGTTCTTTCAACTAAAAACAGCCACAGCAAATGCAACATTCTGAGGCATGGCACTTGGCCTAAATAAATGCAAGTGAGCACCTGCAGCAGGAAGTCACTCTAGCCCTTACAGAGACTTCAACTTTAGAACCAGTGGAAGAACAGGAAGGAGGAGCATGCAGAAATATAGAACTCAAGGACAACAGCAGAGAATCAGAAGAGCATACCTACATCTCCCCTCTCCTCCAAACAGTGTTTGCTTAATTAGTTTCCCTAAAGACATACACACGCACATTTACCAAGAATCATCTGAATGCTCGGCCTACAGGATCAGTCAGCTTTACATATGCATTAGCAACCCTGACACAAGACTACAGATCTGACCCTTTCAAGGGTCATACTCTTCCTATACCTACTAAGTCCACTCAGCATGTCAGCTGACTTAATGGATATTTAAGGCTCAAAGAGAAAATATTCTTTCACACTTGGTTCTTTTACTAAAAGAGTAGAGAACAGTATAAATTAGTCTTCAAACTGTGCAAACATCTCTTGCCCAAACTTCACTTTCATTTGAATACACTGAAATCCACAAAAAAAAATTAAAAAAAATAATTAAAAAGTTTGCTCTAACCATCTCTTGCACATAGTTACAAAACAGCAGGAACAGCAGCAGGGGGGAAACATTCATATGCATCATTGCTCTGACAGAAAAGCCTGCCATGATTTGTTAGGTGTGACAGCCTAACCAGATCTGTGTAAAACAAAATAAAGAATAAATACTACTTGCCAAACACCACAGTTTTCCACCAACAGTTTTAAAAAGCATGTCTGTTAGGGAAGCCCTCAGTCAGCCAACTATTTGCCTATTTTGCCTATCAGGTATTCCCTATAAAATCCACCCAAGCATTCAAGTTCCAAAAGTTGTGGGAGACATGAAAATAAACATGTGCTATCGGAGTCACGCCCATAAAGGCACATGCTGAAGACTGATGGCTTAGGAATCCTTCTGAGGAATCACTCCCTCTAGAAATTCTTCCTTCTGCTAAAACTTACCAAAGTTTGACATAACATTCAAAGAATAACTTCATACTGCAGTTCTACACAAATCCCACTGTAACAGTTATTTCATTCTGCAGTGTCAGTCACACACATGGGAAAAAGACTACTCTAAAAAACACAGTTTCACTGAAGATTATTAGAACATACTTTAAATGACTGAGATGAACTGAAATTAGAATGTACCAGGTTAATTATACAGCTTGAACTATGATCCTTAGAGTAGAGATCTTGTCATGTAACTGATTTCATTACTAAGATTTCACTATCAGTTTCTTCCTGACTGCACTCTACCTGTTCGCTGGTGCTCAAATTGTAGGTCAAAAGTGGGGAACGTAGGCAGTGTGTCTGATGTGTTTAAACTTATACATTAACTAAACTTATTATAGCTTTCATATAGATACATGTTTTTTACTTTATTATTTATGTGATAACTAAATAAGGAAAAACACACACATTCCTTATTTTGCAATCATTGTAACAGTTCCCCCACTCATGCTCCATTTTCTCTTTCTCAGTACACCTCAAGTAATTCTACAATGCCCTTATCCAAACCAGCTAAGTAGAAGTGCTATATAAAGCAATTTAGACAATACTGTAGTGCTGCATGAGTTATTACAGATTGAGCATTACCTTAATATGCTAGCAGCACAGCCTAATATTCACCACCTCAAGATCTTGGGGGTTTTTGTGATCCTGGGTCTGAATACTTATATTAAACTCAGTATCCTAAAAGTAAGTAACAAAATTAGCTCAGAGCTTCCCTGCCTGGTTGCCCCATGCATTTACTAAGCATTGAACTTAAAGCATTGACTATATCTAAGGTTTTCAAACACAGTACTAGTAACTCTTTAGGAACTTACACCTCAGACATGAAAAAGCGCAGTTTTTGAAATACAAGCATGATTAGAGTTGCCAAGAGACTACATTACCCCGTGCTTGCTGCTAGTCATGCTAGAACTTGTAAGCAGCCTCACAAATACTCTGATCTGACAGTAAGGCAGGCTACAAGAGTTTAGGTAGGTGGATAATTCTAAGATCTTTGTTTCTTTCTCCTACCATTTTTAAGTGGTATCTCTTACCTAAAGTGAATTCCACAAACTGATAATTGGTATCATCTGAAGTCATCATTTTCAGATTAAGCACATTATATTTTTGTATTTGCACTATAACATTTCTATAAATTAATTTTACTATTATCTCTCTCACCTTTCATAAAACTGCAGCAGAGAACTTCATTTCTCATATTTTATTTGCTTCATCTCCCTATCTCTCTATAGGTCATACCTTTTTAAGTTAAAACATTATCATCCATTTTAAAAAGACAAGTTCACTAGAAGACTTATTTTAAAAAGACAAGCTCACTAGAAGATGGACACTTTTTTCAACTTATTTCAGAAAGAAAATACTACACAGATACACACAATAATCAATATAGGTTCAAAAGTATGTTTTTAGATGTTTTATCACATCTGTTTTCATGATCATCTATGAAGAGTAAGATCTGATCATTATTGAAGGAGGAACAGAATTGTTACAGAAACCTCACCCGATGTCAGTAAGAGGTGGTTTGTCCCGGCCTCTCTTGTAGCAAAGAAAGAGTTCAGGACTCTTTAGACTCCCATAGTTTAAGTTGGCTTGAAGGGCTGTAGGGGTGGCTTCAACACAGGTGTATCCCTCCGGGACAGTTTCACCAGCTGATTTAATTATCACAGCAATGTCAGTAATTGGAGCCTTTGGACTAGTTGACTTTGTTTCATGTCGGTTTATTTCTTGGTCCAGGAGGGTTGCAGTATCTGCATCAGTGAGCCCTGCCACTACAAAATAATCAGCCACTCGTGGACCTTTGTCTTCTATCATGGTTATGTCAGTCGTTCCTGGGGAAAATAGAGAGAGAGAAATCAAACGCTCTGCTTTCAAGCTACAAAAGTTGCTTCCCTCAACAAGTATGATTTAAAACCTTTAAAGAAATTTTTTGCAAATAAAAAAAATTCCTATAAAAGTATTTCATGAAAATTTGAGAGAAACCCCAAAACAAACTTAGATTTCTGCTGCTTAAAAAGATAGTATTGTCAGTAACTGGATTTCAGCTCTAGCACTATAACAGCCATGTTTTAGCACAAGGAAGTTTAAGTGAGATAAATAACTCAAAGCTCCAACACAGCAGTTACACATAAAATGGCTCAGCATTATCTATTAGACCATTCAGGCTCTTCACAGACTATAAATTAATGCAGGTACCCCTAACTAAAAGCATCTATATTTTTCTGCCATTGCTTAGTGAGTAATTTGACTACAGAACTGTGCTGCTCTTTTTTTTTTTGGTGAGAGAACAATTCCAAGTGTAGCCTCACTAGTTTGTCTTTGCACATTTCATCCATTTTGTTTCACAATCTAGACCTAACAGTGCAGTCTTGAGACATTCAGCTGGCAATTGTAACATCTGGAAATAATTTACAAAAATCACACATCCAAACCCACATTTCATCAGCTGATCAGGCAGCACATATCGCTGCTCAGCTGCACATTCCAGATCTGGAAAGAGTTGTTCTCCCAATACCAGCGACGTTCACTAAGCATATGATTTTAGAGCAGTGAAATGCAAGTTTCTATTAAGAACAAAAGTAGCTGAAATACTCCAACATCACAGGTACAACTTCAAGTACCTGATCTCATGAAATACCTGTATTTTAAAGAGTGAGAAATATTTAAACAGTAGTGGCCAAGCAATAAACTTGAATACTATTATACCCCTTCAAGGAGCTACAGACCACCTTTTTTTAGATCCCCATGTTTTCATCACCATATTTCTGGGGATCCCATCTACAAAGGTAATGAATAATGGAAGTCCGGTTCCCATCTTTGAAAAAAAGACTGCCACAGCTGCCAAGGTCCCACATACCAAGGAGTGGCAGTCCAAATAAGTAGTGTATCAAAATTGAAAAGTTTATTGTATTTAGAATGTCCTAGTCTGATTACTGCAGAAACAGTGTCTCTGCTAACAGAAAAGTGGTTTGGCAGACACAGTATAATCCTGTTCCCTGCAACCTGGTTTCTCCTCCTGTTTTTATCCTGCTCTTTCTTACTGAAATCATACTGGAAAGGTATTTTCCATTTTCAGACCTTTACAAGACTTCTAAAACCTGTTATCAAAAGTGTTTGGAGAACTCAACTGAGGGAAAAATCAGTTATTCACCTTGCATGCTTACTAAGAAATCTTAGCACAAGATCATACAACTTAGGCACCAAGCACTGTACCGCAAAGTATTGTAGGATTAGATGAAAGTAGGGAGGGGAAGGGAAATAACTCTGTGCAAATCTGTAATACCTCTATGCTCCAACTAACTCACTTTTTTATTTTTTAACACTGAAATGACAACTTTTCAAATCCTTTCAAACCTGAAAGAAGAGTACCTACATCCTTTAAATACTCTTCTCTTCTGCACTATTTTTCCACAATACTTTTCACAACATCATTTCAGTGTTCTCTAAACACTTTGGCTAACAGCTTTTGTAGGGCAATCTATAAAGAGAGATCCTAGGAAGAGACACAAAAGTATTTGGCCCCCCTGGAAAGAGGAAAGCCATGGGACAACTACTCACATGACGGAGTTTTCAGGCCTAAAATATACAGATGCCACATCAACAGAACAATAAAAGGTTTATTCAATTTGTCAGGTGTTCAGTGCCTAGGTCTCCTGAAGCACAAGAAAATTACTCTGAAGCCGTATCTACTTGTGAAGCTTCTGAATCACTTCTAGCTACAGAACTTGCAGCAGTTTACCCTTTTTACTGCCATAAACAAAATGAAATTAGTGATAAAGCCCGTTAAAGGCAGGTAAGTTAGCACAAAATGCAGGGGTAATGGCTTCAACTTAATCGCATATAAACCGGTGCTTCTGTTAAAAGGTCCTTCTTCATACTGCCACTGCTCACTCCCACCTTCACTTTTGTCCAGAACCACAGCTTGTGCAACCACGTAATGATCTGGAAAAAGGAACTGCTCTGGCTGAACACTAACCTGGCAGAGGCCATTCACTGTTCAACCACAGCAGCTCTTCAACAATTCACCGTGTCAGCACTAAAGCAGCAGCAGTATGCTATGCCCCTTTCAGCAGCCGCAGCACTGACTTGCACTGGATTAATCATGAAACTGTGAAATCTAAGATGTTTCAGTTTGCCTCTTAGATGCTTGGACTTGTTCACAGAATTATAAAAATAAGTAAAGAAATAACCCAAGCACTCTCAGCTCCCCTTAAAAGAAAGTCTTGAGCCAGCCTACCTTGTAATCTGGAAAGTACTGTTAGCACGTGATATATGTAAAACCAAATTACTAAAACAAGCTGCTAAAAATAGAAAAATAGTTGGCACGATATAAATGGGTTTTTTTAAAAAAAAACAAAACCTTTTTAAATGATCCAGCCTTTTATTATCTGCTACATGTTCACACAGCTCAATACCATATTGTCTCAATGCAACATTAAAATCATCACCCACATTTACTTTTAGCACGCAGAGCAGGAAATAAAACAGTAACAATAACAGCATACAATGTCAAAAATCTCACAACAGTTTGTATTCTTGATCACAGCTGTAGTTCCTGGAATTGCACTGATGTTATCCTCGACTGTTTTTAGAAGTGAAAATTCAGCTGTGCTGGCTAAACAGAAGGAGAAAAATTTAAAAGGACCTGAAAAATTAAATACTAATATTCAGAAGGTTAGAATGCAGATGAAGATAATCCATTCCCATATCTTACCAGGGGGAAGGGGGGGTTTAAAAGAAAACTGTAGCAATTGGTTGCTAAGGAGCATACATTTATATCCATGATTTAATATTTTCCTGTTAGCCATGGCTATGTTTTACTTCACAGAAACTCTGTGTAATATGTGTCAGGCAAAAGTCAGAGTCACCAGACAATTCAGCTGAGAAACTTGGCACACAAGCCTCATATGTCAGCACAACATTTAGTGAGTTTTTCTAAATGTTCTGAGCCTCTCAAAGCAGTTCCCTTCCTTTTCCATAAGGATATGAGAAGTAAGGTTTCAAGTAAGCACTTCAACTCAGCTCTTCAAGGATTTATTCTCCAATTTCAGAAAGATTTAAAGCGATAGGATCCCTCAAAAGAGACCTTAAAGAAATAGCTCTTAATTAGCCAAGTTTATCTCCTTTAATGCAATAGCTTTATAAATATAAGTAGACACTAAACTATAAATTACCAGATAGCCACCAAAACAAATAGAAACAGCAGAATTCAGTTAGTCCAAAGACACTTTGTTTTCTGAACTGCAGGAAAAAAATAAACATATGATTTGTGGGGGAACAAGATTAATCCACTGCCATTTTCCATTTTTTTTATGATACCTCACACAAGAGTAAGTATGCACACTGCTCCTCTTATTAGACAAGGGAATAAACATTCTTCTAAGAGACCTTCTATCATAAGTTTTATCACGGCAACTTTCCCCAACATAATTTCAAGAGATACTGTCCTCTGTCAGTTTTCTATGAGTAGGTTTCTGAACATCAAAATACGAAAACGCAACATTTAGAAAAAATGGGATTTTTCTTGTAACACTCCACTCCCTTGCAGGACAAAATTAAAATACAAAAATTCTAAAAATAAAAACTATTACCTTGGTGTTGGATGATGAAAATGCAGGATACAGTGAAAAAAAAAACCAAACACAAAAACAACATAAAAGATATATTTTTTAAAGTCTATAAAGATACTTCAGTTTCAGTCAAATAAGCTGAAAGCAAAAATTGAGACTTCTGTTTTAAGAACATGAGTGATACTGTTTGAGGAATTACAAACCTCCAAGTCCATATAGATCCATAAGGGCACTGGAGAAATTATTTAAGAGAAGTTAGTTTCCAGTTCAGTCATAGGCTACTGTGGTGGTAGCAGCCAAATACAGCCACCACTCTCTCACACTCCCCCCACAGGGAAGAGGGGAGAGAATTGGAGGGATAAGGAGATTCGTATGTTGAGAGAAGAACAATTTAATAATTTAAATGAAACTTAAAATAATGATGATATTAAGATCATAAAAATAATAATAGTAATAATAAAATATGCAAATGAGTGATACATGTGCAATTGCTTAACCACCCACCAACTCAGCCTGACCCATTCTCAGATAATGATAACAGAAGAGCAACAATCATGAAAATCGAAACCACAATCCCAGAAGAGCAAGAGAAGTCAGAGAGAGCAAGAGAGGAAGAGACTCTCATTAATAGACTGAACACGACGTTACACGATATAGAATATCCCACTGGCATATCCAAATGCCAATTTAGCTTACTAATTTTAATATTCCTCACCCCCTCTAAACCTTGGATTTGTAGACTAGCAAAATGCAAAGTCCTTCGACTTCCAGTGACAACTGAAAACATTAACATGTTATCAACATTCTTCTCATAATAAATCCTCTACTGAAAACAAAACACAGCTCTATTGTACCTACTAAAAAGAAACCCAGCTCTGTCCCAGCTAAATACCAGGACAGTTACAACAGGAAAGTTTGTTATGAGCATTTTAGGACAAAAATTATTTTTTAAAAGAAGAAAAAAAAAAAGAAAAAAAGCCTTGGGAATAAAAGATGTACTTTTTAAAACCTCTTGTTTTTCTAAAAGGAATTCCCACTGGAAGTAATTAGTTTTGTAGATTAAAAAGAAAACCAACCTGCAGACAACACTTAAAGGCACTTAGTATGACTAGTCTAAGTGAAAAGATCTATCTGGTAAAAATACGTAGGAGTGAAAAAAATAAATGCTTTCCACCACTGAACACCAGAAACATGGCAAAGTGATCTCCTCTCCCACAGTCCATTTAAGGTTGACCTCTTTCTTAACAACCA